TCACCGGTAGGGCTTTAATATATCTATTTTTTATAGATTTCAGAGAGGAAGGGAGAGAGAGAGAAAAAAAAACATCGATGATGAGAATAACTCAGGGCTGCCTCCCGCAGGCCCCACACTGGGGACGGAGGCCGCGACCCAGGTTCAGGTTCCTAGGTCGATGCTCAGCCACTGAGCCATTTAAAAAAAAAGAAGGAAAAAAATCAATGATGAGAATAACTGATGGCTGCCTCCCACATGCCCCACACGGGGATGGAGCCCGTAACCAGACATGTGCCCTGACCCAGACGAACCGTGACCTCCTGGTTCATAGGTCACTGCTAGGGATGGAGCCCGCCCGTAACCAGGCATGTGCCCTGACCCAGACGAACCGTGACCCCCTGGTTCATAGGTCACTGCTTAACCACTGAGCCACACCGGTAGGGCTTTAATATATATATTTTTTATAGATTTCAGAGAGGAAGGGAGAGAGAGAGAAAAAAAAAAACATCGACGATGAGAAAAACTAAGGGCTGCCTCCCGCAGGCCCCACACTGGGGACGGAGGCCGCGACCCAGGTTCAGGTTCCTAGGTCGATGCTCAGCCACTGAGCCACGCCAGACGGGCGTTCAACCACGTACCCAGATGTCCCAGATGCCAAGCCCCATCTCATGCCCGAGAGCATCTGCGTAGACCCAACATAGCCTCTGCCCCCGGCAGGGCGTGGAGTGGGGGTTGTCCGGGAGATGATTTTAAAAAGCCGTACACACTTCACAGCCAACTAGCTCCCATCCAGAACACTCAGTGAGGACAACACAGAACAAACACACGAGGCAGAATCCGGACGCACAGTCAGGGCCGCCAAGGGCAGGTACGAACACGAGGGAAATGCATCCGACCTGGGGCCTGACTTCATTCTGGCCAATCGGACGGGGTCCAGCTTGTCGCATCACCACGCTCACTATAGGGGAGAGGGAAACTGAGGCACACCAAGCCGTGCCCAGGGAACCCAGAAAGGTCTGGCTTCCTGTCCCGATAACAGAAACAGTTGCCCCCCTGAAAGTCATCTGTGTAACCAGGCCCGAGCCCCTTGCTCACGCCGGCCCTCAGTTTTCCCGTCTTTGGAATGGGCGTGCGTACATTCGCCATCGTTCATCAGCCGTGCCCGGAACAGCTCTGGCTCACCGCCGGGGCCCAGGAAATGCCAAGCTCAGGTTCGCAGCTGTTGGGTTTGGCCTGGGTCCTGGGCTCCAGGCTCTGGCACCATAGCTCCTTCCACCTGAAGGCAGGGGTTCTGGTCCCTGGTTCCTGTCCCCACGGACACCGGCTCGGTGCCTCGCATCCTCTCCCCCGAGAACGGCCTGCAGAGCAGCCAGCCGTTCCTGCGAGAGGCCAGAGGAGGAAGGGATGGACGCTGGGCTCCTGGACACGGGGTTCCCGGTGAGTGCACCACGGCCCTCACGCTCGGGCCTCCGACGTGAGGGAACCCCTCCCCTGAGTGTCCGGCTCGGCCTTTTCCGGCTTCCCCGGTGAGGAAACTCCTGTGTGACCTTCCAGGAGCAGGTGGCCTTCGAGGACGTGGCCGTGGACCTCACGCGGGAGGAGTGGGGGCAGCTGACGCCCGCCCAGAGGACCCTGCACTGTGAGGTGATGCCGGAGACCTGGGGGCTCCTGGTCTCTGTGGGTAAGGCACCCCCTGTTCCTCACTGTCCTCCCCTGGATGGACCCCACTTCGCCTGGGTTCACGGGGGGGGGGGGGGGGTCTTGGCCTGAAGAGCAGAAAACTCATGAGCCTTGGGCCCGAGGGACCAGACTGCCTGGGTTTAGAGGGTGTCAGGCAGGATGTTCTGCCTACAAGTGACAGATCCCACCAAGAATGCCAGAGGCAGGAATCGCGGGGTAAAAGGGGCACACTGGGTCCAGAGCTGCAGAACCCCAGGTGCCGTCTTCCCGTGTGGCCCCCTCTCCCTCTGCACCTCTCTGAGTCACCTTTCACACGTGGGCCCTCTGACGGTGAAAAGACAGTTGCCAGAGTCCAAGGGGCCCAGGGAAGGCCTGTGGGCTGTCTTGTTTCAGCCACCAGGCCCCCTCCCTACTGGTCATTGTTGCCAGTGGACAGCGGGAGAGGAACTCTCACTGGGTGCCCAGATCGGGGTCACGTGTCCCCCCCAGAGCCAGAGGGGGGGTTAGGGCTGAGAGTGAGTGGAGGCAACTAGAGGCTGTTATCACCTAAGTCACTGGGGCCTGTCTGGGTTCCGGACTTAAGTCCTGAACGGGTGGAGGCGGAGTGGGCAGGGGGGTGGGAACGGCCCTGGGACACGAATGCTCTCGTCCTGGGTCTCCCCCTGAGCCGGACGGTGGCTCCTGAGGCCCCCCCTCATCTCGCTGATGCTGGAGCAGGAGGCGGGCCGTGGCTGGGGGACCGGGAGGTTCTGCAAGGTGTGTGCCCAGTGAGGTGAGGATGTGCAGGGCAGGGAGGGGCCCCCGCTCCCCACACCCCGCATCTCTCTCTTCGTATCTGCTCCCAGGTCCTGCAGAGCAACCTGACTCCTCATTCTCTCGGTGAACGTTCGCCAGGCACCGGTCTGCCACGAGGAGACCTCGCTCCTGTCTTCACCGAACATACTTATTGCTGAGGGGGAGGGGCCCAGGGTAAACAGCCGGAAAACAATAATAACCGCGAAAGGGATGATCACAGATGTGACAGCCGGTGATGGGTGGACGGAGTCGGGGAGAGGACGTGAGCAGAGAGGTGAGGGCGTCCCTCTCGAAGGAGGTGATGAGGGGGTGAAGCTGGGCCACGGGCACAGAATCCAGGCAGAGGGAACGGCAAGTGCAGAGGCCCTGGTGGTGCAGGTGGGAAGTGGGGGCCAACGTCCCCCTGGCGTCCGGCCGTGACGCGTGTAAGCAGTGACCATCGCCAGTGCCCAGGAAGGATGGACGGGTGTGGGGGGGTCACAACAGGGTCTCCCCCGCCTCAAATAAGAACCCGCCTTCACCTCGTATGTGAGCCCCCTCTTGCCGCCGTAACAAACGACCACAAATGTAGTATGTGAAGCAACACAAGTGACCTTGCAGCTCTAGAGGCCACGAGTCCAGAGGGGTCTGACCGGGCGACGTGTGAGGGGTCAGCAGCCGGCGTTCCTTCCCGAGGGTCGGAGGCCCCATGGCCGTTCCTGCCCAGCATGCAGAGGGGCACATTCCTGGGCGCGTGGCCTTGTCCATCTCCGTGTCAGCAGAGGCGGGTCAAGCCTTCACGCATCGTGTCCCCCCGCCCCCGACCTCCTGCCCCTCTGGCACCTGTAAGAACCCGTGGTGACACGGGGCCACCCCAACAATCCAGGGTGATGTCAGGTGACGGGCTAATGTCACAGATCAGCACCCTCCATTCCTTGTCCACGTGTAGAGGACAGCACACTCGGGCTGCGGGGCTGAGGACGTGGCCATCTTGGGAGACGCTGTTCTGCCAGATGCACTTGACTAGAATGTACCCCTAAGTTTTCAGTAGAGCAGCACCCATGGGAAAGGTGCCAGGTCACACCTTCTCACCAGCTCAGTGTCGCGTGGAGGCTGGGCACCTGCCACCCTGCCAGGAAGGACGGGGAGACACTGCTTGTATTTCTCGTTCAGCGTGTGTGTGGACCCCAGTTGTTGTTGGGGTACGGTGGGAAGATCCTGCCCGAGGGGTCTTCTCGCTTAGGGAAACAGACAGACTGAACCAGCTCGAAGGGCTGTCATGCACCACAACCATGTGTCAATCTCTTGTTTTTTGTTGTTGTTTTTTAAAATATATTTTATTGATTTTTTACAGAGAGGAAGGGAGAGAGATAGAGAGTTAGAAACATCGATGAGAGAGAAACATCGATCAGCTACCTCCTGCACATCTCCCACTGGGGATGTGCCCGCAGGCCAGGTACATGCCCTTGACCGGAATCGAACCCGGGACCCTTCAGTCCGCAGGCCGACGCTCTATCCACTGAGCCACACCGGTTTCGGCTGTCAATCCTCTTATAGACGGACATGTCAGCAGTTCCCACTGTGGGGATCTGATGGGCTTCTTCACATCTGCCGTGAGCGGCACAACAGGGAGGGAGGGGCCCCCGGGAGGAGACGGCCTCTGAGAAACGGGAGGGCGGAGGGTTGGAGAACCTTTGTTCTGTCACGGGCCGTTTGGATATTGATAGCGTCATTCGCAGGGCATATAAAATTACCACCTTAAAATGTAGCTGCTGTATTTGGCCACACAGTTAATTAAGTCCCCCCTAGTGCCTTGGCAGGGCCAGGCCAGGTGACTGAGCGGGCCTTTCGCAGCCTGCAGGCCACACCTCACCCGCCCTTGCTCCCCCGACGTCTGCCGCAGTACAGGCTGCGTGAACCTGTACCTGGCTGTAATTCCGCTCCCTCCAAGCCTGGGCGTCGGTGCATTTTCCCTGAAGGCTCACTCTTTTATTTCAGCACCGACTTCCTCCAAAACTCTCTGTGCAAACTCCGTCTCTACCCATTATACTAACTCAGCTTCCCGTCCTCTGAACACTCTCTTCCTTCTCTGCTTTGCAAAACCATACGGCTCAATGGTCAAGGCCACTGGTGCCTTGAACTTTTAGAAAATGTCGGTTTGATTCTTCCATTCACAGATTCACCACTAAACTTTTCCTCCCAGAATGGCGATTGCGGGACGATTCCTTTTTATTTTTATTTTTTTTCAGACTTGGAAACGAAATTGAAAACGGAACTGTCAGCTGCAAAGCAAGACGCCTCTGAGAAACCGTCCAGCCCTGTCCTGGTAGAAGGGTTCCGGTGGGACGACGGTCTGGGAAGCGCTGAGAGTGACGCCGCCGTGGGGCACCGGGAACAGAGCTGTGAGAGCCCGGATGGCCGTGGGGGGCCGGCGGCCTGCGAAGACCTCTGTTCGGCGGCAGCAGCCTGGGAATGGGCTTGGGGAAAACTGACCTCTGAGCCCTGATCGCCCAAGTCAACCCGTGACTCCTGGAGGACAAGACTCGCATGCACGGAGAATGCACAGAAAAAAGGAGAGTCCGTGCTCAAAACCGAACGCACAACAGAAAACCCACGGGAAAGAGAAAGCCTGCCGGTGTCTGGAATGTGGAAAGGCGTTTGCTCGCAGCTCTGCTCTCACTGAGCACCGCCGGACGCACACCGGGGAGAGGCCCGACGAGTGTCAGGAATGCGGGAAGGGCTTCCGAAACCGCTCGGCACTCACCAAGCACCGGAGAACTCACACGGGCGAGAAGCCCTACAGGTGCCCGCACTGTGGGGGGACCTTCAACCAAACCCCCCGCTGATCCAGCACCAGAGGACGCACATGGGCGAGAAGCCCTAGGTGTGCAGCCAATGCGGCAAGTCCTTTAGTTTCCGGTCCTCCTTCAGCCAACACGCACGAACCCACATGGGCGAGAAGCCTTATACGTGTCCCGAGTGTGGGAAAGCCTTCACCCAGGCGACACCACTGATCCAGCATCAGAGGACGCACACGGGAGAGAAGCCCTACGGGTGCCACGAGTGTGGGAAAGCCTTCAGCCACAGCTCGTCACTCCACCAGCACGAGCGGACACACACGGGGGAGAAGCTCTATGGGTGTCGTCAGTGTGGCAAGGCCCGTCCGGCAGAGCACACACCTCGGTCAGCACCAGCGGATCCACACGGGGGAGAGGCCCTATGAGTGTAATGCATGTGGCAGAGCCTTCACCCACAGCTCATCTCTCACCCAGCACCAGCGAGTCCACATGGGGGAGAAGCCCTATGCGTGTCATGCATGTGGCAGGGCCTTCGGTCAGAGCTCCCTCCTCGTAGGACACCAGAGGACCCACCCCACAGAAAAATCCTACACGTGCAACGAATGTGGGAAGTCCTTCAGGCAGAGCACTCGCCTCACTCGGCACCGGAGGAGCCACACAGGAGGAAAGCCGTACGCGTGCAGGGACAGTGGGAAGGCCTTCACACACAGCTCCTCCCTGACCAGACACCAGAGAACTCATACTGGGTCGAGGCACCTACAGGAGCTGGGCCATAGGAAGCCTTAAGCCATCGTTCAAGTCTTCCCTTCCTACACTTGACCCAGTCATACCCCTGGGTAACATCACAGACTCATGCATACACCTCCACAAATAGGAGTAGTTCACATGCCCCTCAGATCACTCTAACGTAGGGAAATGGAGGGATGATCAGTGTTGAAGACCTTCAGTGCGAGTGCCAGTCAATGCTGTATTATAGACGCCACGAAAATGAGGATGGGGAAGAGGTATTGGATCTGGGCATGACTTCACAAGAATTCACCAGCTTCCAAACTTGAGAATTTCAAAATGGTGAGACCCCCCCCAACTAATGCTGTTCATCAAAAAGAACCAAGTGCAGTGACATTTTATCTTTAATGCACGTTATATGCTCGAGTGGGGAGACGTGCTCATGAATGGTGTTGACACTGATACGCCCTGTAAACACCATGGCTGTGCCCCACACGTGAGAGTGGCATCCATGTGCAATCCCCATGCACGCAACTGACCCAGTAAGAAGTTCTGATCCGTGTGTAAAGCATTTGATCAAGGTACATGGCAGACGGCCTCACAGATCTGAATTCCATATGACAAAGTGCCAAGTGTACTGTAAACATTTTTTTTAATTTTTTTAAATATATATTTTATTGATTTTTTACAGAGAGGAAGGAAGAGAGATAGAGAGTTAGAAACATCGATCAGCTGCCTCCTGCACATCTCCCACTGTGGGTGTGCCCGCAACCCAGGTACATGCCCTTGACCGGAATCGAACCTGGGACCCTTCAGTCCGCAGGCCGATGCTCTATCTACTGAGCCAAACCAGTCTCGGCGAATTTTTTTAATTTTTGTTTGTGTGTGTGTGTGTACTGTAAACATTTTAACTAGTTTTCTGCATTAGTTTGCAATAAATATTTGTCATGGAATTGAAAACTTTTGAATAGGACAGTGGTGGCGAACCTATGACATGCGTGTCAGAGGTGACACGCGAACTCATTTTTTTTGGTTGAGGGGTGCTTGCCCCTACCGCAGTGATGGCAAACCTATGACACGCGTGTCAGAGGTGACACGCAAACTCATTTTTTTGGTTGATGTTTCCTTGTTAAATGGCATTTAAATATATAAAGTAAATATCAAAAATATAAATCTTTGTTTTACTATGGTTGCAAAGATAAAAAAATTTCTATGTGTGATACGACACCAGAGTTAAGTTCAGGTTTTTCAAAATGCTGACACGCCGAGCTCAAAAGGTTCGCCATCGCTGGAATAGGAAGTTGTGAAATGTAACTTCCATGGAGCCTTGCAGGTTCCGTGATGGCTTTTGCTACTCTGTTCAGGCTATAATTTTTTTTCTCTTTTTACAGGACTCATAGGAATTAAAAGGACAGGTGAGCCCAGCTGGTGTGGCTCAGTGGTTGAGCATCGACCTATGAACTAAGAGGTCATGGTTTGATTCCTGGTCACGGCACATGCATGGGTTGCAGCCTCGATCCCTAGTGTGGGGCATGCAGGAGGCAGCCAATCAGTTATTTTCTTTCATAATTAATGTTTCTATCTCTCCCTTTCTGAAATCAATAAAAATATACATTTTTAAATTTTCATGTTTAATTTTTAAAATAGATTTTTATTAATTTCAGAGAAGAAGGGAGAGGGAGAGGGAGAGATAGAAACATCAATGATGAGAGAGAATCATTGATTGGCTGCCTCCTGCAGACCCCACACTGGGGATGGAGCCCACAACCCAGGGATGTGCACCTGACTGGAATCAAACCCAGGACCCCCTCAGTCCGCAGGCCAACACTCTATCCACTGAGCCAAACCAGCTCGGGCTAAAAACATATTTTAAAAAAATAAAAGAAAAAGACAGACGGTGCCATTGCACAAACAGAGCAAGGTTTTTCCTAATTCCCGTCTCATAAACTAGGAATTCCATGTTGTAACCTTTTATTTTGCAAGATTTAGTCCTTTGATAAATGTAAAAGACAACCCTTTCTTGCAGCATGTTTTCCTTGATTCTTCACTGTTTCTATTATAATTTCACTTGAAAATCCATTGTACTTCATTGAACCTTAAATCCTCTAAGAGCATCTGGCTGACAACCACGCCCCTTCAAGGGTGACTTGCCACCCTTGACGGTTGCCACACGGCGGCAATAACTAATAACACTGGGAAAGAATCTCTCTTCATACAAATGCGATGGGGTCGGTCGTGCCTCCGACCCCGCAATGGGTGGTTCCTCCCACCTCAGGTAAAGAGAAACCCCTGACACCTTCCAACAAGGCGCTGCCAGCTCGGGCATCGGCCCCACTGAGGGCACCGGCCCCCCAGATGCCCGTGTGCCAGCCGCACAGACCTGGTTGGTCGTTCGGAACTAGTGTCTCACAGTGGGACCCCAGGCTTGTCACCAAAATTACCGGGTGCTGCTCACCAATGCAGACTCTTGGGCCGTGCATCCCAGCAGATGAGCCCAAATCTTGGGGGTGGGGTGATGAGGCCGGCGACTGCATCCTCCCCGTGGTGAAGGCCCTGCTGCCCTTCTCGGGGCCTGGTGGGGGGCCCTGTCTGCTTCCCGACGGGGCTGCCCCCTCCACCGGCCACGAGGTCATGTGCACATGCTCCCCGTCTCTGACCCAGGAAGCTTTCCTCAAGGCGCCCTCTCCAGAGACTTGAGGTTCACACAACAGTCGTTATTCGTCTGCTTCTTGGTTTACGGACTGTTCCCCTTGGCCGACTGGAGGTGGGGGCACACTCTCTGACCCACTGAGGAATGAGGGTCCCCCCCCCCGCCTTTTACCCTAATTTGACCCACAGCACCGACCGATTGCCCAATGCCTGCGCCAACCAGTTCCCCCGGCAGTAGCAGGGGACATCTGGCTGTAACTTTGTCCCTGAACAAGTCATCGACTTAGGCCAGCGATAGCGAACCTTTTGAGCTCGGCGTGTCAGCATTTTGGAAAACCCTAACTTAGCTCTGGTGCCGTGTCACATAGAGAAATTTTTTGATCTTTGCAACCATAGCAAAACAGACGTATATTTTTGATATTTATTTTATATATTTAAATGCCATTTCACAAAGAAAAATCAACCAGAAAAATGAGTTCGCGTGTCAGAGGTTCGCCATCACTGACTGAGGAGCTTTTGCAGGGAGGTGGTGGTTAGGGCAAGAGGAAACTCCTGAAATCTTTCCCGAAGGTTTGGGTTCTTGTAGAGGTTGGAGAACAGCAGTTCTCAGACGATTCCAGAGGTGTGTGGGGATTCAGCCCCTTCATGCGTTGCTCTCGGAGGTGCCAGCACGCCCCCAGGGCCCAGCCGCCTGTCCCAGGAGACGCACTCGGTGGCCAAGCGCTGATGGGCCATTGCAGGGCTTGCAGTGCAGCCTCCCAGCCCTGCCTACGTAGCACTGAGGTCGCTTTCGCACTAGGAAACGTGTCCACCTTTGCGTGGACGTCCTGACAGCCACAAGGCGGGGGGCCGGGGGGGGACATTGCAGCAGAGACCGGGGAGCCTCGCTGCGGTTTGCGAATTCCAGCAGCGGCTGGGGATCATGACTACACGGACCTTACTCTCCAGGTTGCAAACCCCGACACCTGGAGCCTCCTACTGCTCCCCGAAGGTGCTCAGGGCGGGTGTCCCAAGGGAGGGTGCCTCACCTGGGATCGAAGCCTTTTGGGAACTGTAGTTCGGGCGCCCCCCACCCTGTCTGGCCGCTATGAGAAGCTTTTTCTCACTGCATTTCCAAGACCCTGCCGTTGGAGCAGCGTTCGGACCTCGGGAATAGCAGCTGTAGGGTCCACAGAGTCCTAGACACCCAGGTTTTGAGAATTCCGGGGACTCACGGTTACACCAACCTTGCCCACCAGGTGGCGCAGCAGGACAGCTACAGCTTGGGGGTGAACTCACACTAGGTTAGAGGCACCTTCGGGAGCTGGGCCCATGGCTGAAGCCATTGTTCATCCCTGCCTAGACGAGCCCGTTTGTTCTGATGAGCAGTAGGACATACACAGGCCTTCACACACAGTACGCTCCCCAGGTCGTCCTGACAGGAGGGAGATGTGGAGGTGGCCTACGTGGAGGGCCTTCAGCCACGAGGACCCTCTGACATTACAGAAGAGAGATTAGTGGGGAAATGCCGTGAGTTTGGACGTGACTTATGTCCACGGATTCGCAAGGTTCCAGCTGGTGAAAACCCAACACGTGCCTTTCATAGGTAAGAACCCAGGGCGGTGAGACTTGATCGTTAATTCACATTCTATTCTTTGGGTTGGGGAGTGTCGATGAGTGGTGTCAGGTGACGGATATAAACACTCGCCAGTGCCTACTCGGCTGTCTCACCACCAAGTTTTCCGGTCTGTGTATAAATCACTCACCCGGTCCAAGAACACATCTAATGTTTGCGTTTCCCCTGAAATACGTGTCCCAGGTGGGAACGACCAGGCTCTGAATGCTGGTGATGGTGTTACCAATTCCCCTTGACCCCCCTGATTGCATCTGTGCACCGTGTCCTGCCCCTTCAGAACAAACCTGGGGTGCTGTCCCCACCTTTACAAGACAAAATGATGCCAATATTTTAAAAATAAAATCAGATTTTATCTCTTAAAGAAAAAAGATACATGGAACCAGTCTCTCAGATTTGAATCCCATGTGACCTATCGGTGCATTTTAAACAGAATTAAATTATCTGCATTATTTTGCAATAAATTAATCCTTTTCAGTAGGTTAGGAGTGATTCGAGAAAGCAATTCTGAAACTTTTTTTAAAAATATATTTTATTGATTTCTTTTTTTTAATATATTTTATTGATTTTTCACAGAGAGGAAGGGAGAGATAGAGAGTCAGAAACATCGATGAGAAAGAAACATTGATCAGCTGCCTCCTGCACATCTCCTACTGGGGATGTGCCCGCAACCAAGGTACATGCCCTTGACCGGAATCGAACCTGGGACCCTTCAGTCCGCAGGCCGATGCTCTATCCACTGAGCAAAAATGGTCAGGGCCTGAAACTATTTTAGAGGTACTTTAGCATCCAGCACTCTTTTAATTGTGTGGGTCCCAGAGTTCTCATTATAGGGACATAGAAATATGGAGAGTGAAAATGTAGTTGTAAACTACATAGTTATAAAAAAGAATAGATTGGCATTGTATTTGTTCACACGTATACGTACCTTTATTTGTGTACTGATGTGTGCTCATTTATGTGCCTGTATTTCTAACTCAGCAGAAGACAAGGCTAGTAGCAGGGAGCACACCTGGCACCCAGATTTGGGCCCTATGACCGCCCCCTACTAAAGGGAATGAGTTATTTGAAACTGGAGAAGTGGCTGATTTCAGAGTTGAAGCAAGTAGAAAGATAAGCCTGGAACATCCTATACTTAAAAAAAAACCAGACTGTTCCAGAAGTGGCGGAGGGATGCCACAGGGTGCGGGATTCCTGTAAGACTCCTGAGCTCGTCTGGCACAACCTGGGCACGGAAATCAGTAAGGACAGCGGTGAGTCATACACCATTGAGAAAACAGGAGCCCGCGAGTGCGTCTGAGGATAAACAAACGGGCAGGAAGGCGTGCCCAGGGCTGAGCGTGGGCACGGCGGGACACCCTGGCACTGGGTAAGCGACACCCTGCAGCCTTCAGTGCTAGAGACTGGTTCGGGCAGGAAGGAGTGGAGGCTGGACCAGGGCTTTGGTGAGAAACTGGATATCTGCATTATCTTCAAGGTCTCCCCATAGATCCATCATTAGTTCACGGGGGGAGTAGTAACTATGTGGGGGAGAAATTGGGGAACACTGGGTAACAAAAGAGTCACCGACAGGACCAATGGGGGCTTTGCACACCCCCAGGTGTGTGTGTGTGTGTGTGTGTGTGTGTGTGTGTGAACATGTTAACAGGTGGGTCCGGGTGAGGACATCTGTGTGAACTTGGTACTGTTTTCACTATTTCTGTGCCTTTTCTATCAGGTTTAACCCCTTCCCCAATAATTTTTTTGTTAAAAACGTTTCTTTTTCAGACTAATTTTTTTATTTTGGTTCTATATAGTATTTTTGATGCTGGTTATGAAAACAGTTTGTAACTCGTCTTCCTATAAACCATATTTTTTTACCATATTTTCTTAGTATACTCGTCGACGACTGAAAAACATTTTGTGAAAACGAGTATACATGTTTCTGCCGGGGAAGGGGTTAAGTCATTTCCAAATAAAGTAAACAACGCACAGGCATCCAGCTGTGCACTGACTGGGACACGGGACGGGGAGCTGAGGATGCGGCGTGTGGGGCGTCACCCGTGGGCCTGGGAGCTGAGTGGGGTGCATGCTGGGAGGGGTCTCCGAGGCAGAACGGAACTCACGGGTCACGCTAGGAGCAAGAGCTGAAATAGTAAATTTAGTTGTTTTTTTAAAATTACCGGGCCCACACCCAGCTTGGGGTTGGGGGACGGACAGGCTAAGAGGTTGGGGGGTGGGCAGGTGGGAAGTGGTGGCAATTCAGAGGAAAGCCAAATTGAAAAGGACCTAAAATTAAAACGATGAGGGGCTCAGGGGTCTGTGGGGCCCTCCTACTGTCCGCCGGAGAGGGGAGCCCCGCGAAGGCCAGGTGGGGAGGACAGGAAAGCCAGTGCCTTCAGACCATGGAGCCTTTCCAAATCCGGGAACTGCAGGTCTCGGGCAGGGGCTGCGGGCTCCAAGGCCCAGGGAGGGCAGAGGCCCAGGTGGGCTCCTGGCAAACTCATGTAAGGTCACGTCAAATACGCCCACAACGCACCCAAGCTCAGACAGTTAACACACTGGGTGCCCCGACCAAAGCCCCATGAGGGGGTCAGCGTCGCCCAGGCCAACGGTTTTGTAACAGAGCCCAGGGTCGAGGTTCGAGGGTGGTGGGCCTGGCTCCTGGGGACTGGGGAGCTGCCCCATCAGCGGAGGGACGCTCCCCTCTGAGCCGCTCACACGTGGGGGAGCTAAACTCTCTCAGGGGAGCCGCTGCCTGGGATCTAGGTCGCCGGAGGTCAATTTCACACCTACTCCCAGCGCCGGCCCCTTCTCCTTCCCTCTCAAGCCAGGGTGGGGGCCCGTGTCTGCCTTGGGCCATGCGGGTATTGATCACACCCTTCGGCCGCCACACAAAACGACCCACTTAACCGTTAGCCTGCCGTATTTGGTCCAATGTTTAATGAACTCGCCCCTCACGCCTGGGCAGGGCCAGACTGAATGGTTCTGCGGGCCTGCATCGGCCCGCGGGCCGGACGTTCCCCACCCCTGCTCTGCGGCGTGCTCCCCTCACCTGGCTCCTCCCGGTCTCTGGGGGGGCCCTCCGCCGGGAAGGCCACCTTCGGGGAGCTCGCGGGCAGGGGCGCCCGCAGCCAGGGCCGAGCGGACCTTGCTGGGCAGGAGGACTTTGAGGAACGCACCCAGCTGCAGCACCTGCTCCGTGGGGCACGCCTCGGGCTGAAGCCGCTGGTGGCACAGCTGGTGGAGCTGTGCGAGGGCCTCGGGGGTGAAGTTCCGGAGCAGGTGGGAGACGTCCAGGTCGGCCGGGGTCCTCCTGCAGGTGGTCTCGCGTTCCTCCGGCCGGAGCCCCTTCTCCGGAGGCAACATCTTCCCATGTCTACGCGGGGAAACGTGGCCGTGCCAGCCAGGGGCAGGGCAGCGTTGTCGAGGGCAGGTTCATGTAACCATGGCTCCAGGGAAGACACAAAGCAAGCAACAGGATCCTGTGAGATCTCGGCCGGCCGGAGTCAGACCTGCACAGGACGGACAAGGACGTGCCCAGGGGGTGAGAAGCAGGCCACGGGGCACCCACAACAGAGAAAACAGCCGAACCGGTGTGGCTCAGTAGATAGAGCGTCGGCCTGCGGACTCAAGGGTCCCAGGTTCGATTCCCGTCAAAGGCATGCACCTTGGTTGTGGGCACATCCCTACTAGGGGGTGTGCAGAAGGCAGCCGATCGATGTTTCTCTCTCATCAGTGTTTCTGGCTCTCTATCCCTCTCCCTTCCTCTCTGTAAAAATTCAATAAAATATATTTTTTTAAAAAAAGAGAAAACAGCAGGGGCATCCGAACTCACCAGCCCGCACCCTCCACACCCGGAGTCCATGCAAGATTACTTCCAAGCAATTCCCTTGTTAAGTATCGGTGCAGGGTTGTACTCGTGTAGACAAAAATGACCACAAAATTTGGAGAGTGGCAACTCATTCTTTAAGACTGGTATGGACACAGACAACAGGGGGGTGAGAGCATGAGTAGGGGAGGGGGTTATGGGGAGAATGAGGTCACATATGTAATACCTTAATCAATAAAGAAATTAAAGGTTGAAAAAAAATAGAACAGTAAGCAAAAATAAATATAAAAAAATAAAAGACTAGTACTACCAGGACTTAAAAAAAAAAAAAAAAAAGGTCCAGCCAGTGTGGTTCAGTGGTTGAGCTTCGACCTGTGAACCAGGAGGTCAGGGTTCGATTCCCGGTCAAGGGCACAGGCCCAGGTTGCGGGCTCGATCCCCAGTGAGGGGCGTGCAGGAGGCAGCCGATCCATGATTCTCTCTCTTCATCGATGTTTCTCTCTCTCTTCCTCCCCCTGCCTCTCTGAAATCAATAAAAATATATATATTTTTTAAAAAGAACCAAAGGACTTGTATACATGCATATAAGACTCACCAATGAACACAGACACAAGGGGGGTGAGGGCATGCGTGCGTGGGGGGGGGGCACTGGGGGGATAAGGACACATATGGAATACCTTAATCAATAAAGAAAAAAAAACAATTTTAAAAAAATCATGTCAGCTCTAACCAGGGTGGCTCAATGGATAGAGCGTCGGCCTGCAGACCGAAAGGTCCCAGGTTCAATTCCGCTCAAGGGCATGTACCTTGGTTGCGGGGACATCCCCAGTAGGAGATGTGCAGGAGGCGGCTGATCGATGTTTCTCTCTCATCGATGTTTCTGACTTTCTATCTCTCTCCCTTCCTCTCTGTAAAAAATCAATAAAATATATTTAAAAAAATATATCAGGTCAAAGTTGCTTAAGCTTGTTTCCATTCTCAATATACTGTGTGCATAAATTCTATAATGTTTATATTTTTATATTTTCTGCATTTTTTTCAAATTATTTATTTTTACTGGTAATGGTAGATTGGGGTGGAAGGGAGAGTATTAAGTTGGGCATCTTAAAAGAAATTAAACTGATTTCTCAGGTTCTTGAGATGGCAGATATAATTTTCTGGTCCAAAAACCATATGTATTTCTTAAATCTGTCCACAGGAAAGATTATACATTCTGCAAATATGCAAACAAAAAACACAATAAAGTATTTTCACTGCTGTAAAAAAAAAAGAAAGAAAGAAAAGCAAACAGTCCTGGCCTGTAGCTCAGGGCATCAACCAGATACTCCAAAGTTGTGGGTTCGATCCCTTCTCAAGGCACAAACAAGAATCAACCAATGGCCCTAGGTGGTGTTGCTCAGTGGATAGTGCATCTGCCTGCAGACTGAAGGGGCCCAGGTTCGATGCCGGTCAATGGCATGTACCTGGGTTGCGGGCACATCCCCAGTAGGGGGCGTGCAGGAGGCAGCCAATCCATGTTTCTCTCTCTCTCTTTACCTCTCCCTTCCTCTCTACAATCAATAAAAACATAAAAAAAAAAAATCAGCCCTAGCTGGTTTGGCTCAGTGGATAGAGCGTCGGCCTGCGGACTGAAGGGTCCCGGGTTCGATTCCGGTCAAGGGCATGGACCTTGGTTGCGGGCACATCCCCAGTGGGGGGTGTGCAGGAGGCAGCTGATGGATGTTTCTAGCTCTCTATCCCTCTCCCTTCCTCTCTGTACACAATCAATAAAACATATATTTTTAAAATATCAGGTCTTAAACAGGAGAAAGGAAAATTACAGTGTGACCTCACAATGATGTAAAAATCTTAGGACCTGAGCCCCGGCTGGTGGGCTCAGTGGACGGAGCGCAGGACTGCAGGCTGCTGGGTCCCAGCTCCATCCCCGGTGGGGGGCCTGCGGGAGGTGGGATCCATGTTTCTCTCTCTCTCCCTTCCTCTCTAAAAAAATCAATAAAATATATATCAGGAGGCAGCTGATGGATGTTTCTAGCTCTCTATCCCTCTCCCTTCCTCTCTAAAAAAATCAATAAAATATATATCAGGAGGCAGCTGATGGATGTTTCTAGCTCTCTATCCCTCTCCCTTCCTCTCTAAAAAAATCAATAAAATATTTTTTTTAAAAAACACCTCAATGGTCCCACTCCCTCTTGCCCGCCACAGGCAGCACCCACTCGCCCTCACCCATGGGGTCCCCTCACCAGACCGTTATACCCTTCCCCCAACCCCCCTCCCACCCCAGGTAACCGGGAGAAACCACACTCCCCGCCCCGGCCCCACCTCGGGGCTCTCGGAGGCCTGCGGGCTCCCAGGGGCCGCAC